AGAGAGAGAGAGAGAGAGAGAGAGAGAGAGAGAGAGAGAGAGAGAGAGAGAGAGAGAGAGAGAGATGCTGATGGATTAGTGAGCCACAGGGCTCCAGGACAGATGAATAGACAGAGGGTTTGAAGTGACGGACAGGCAGAAGGACAAAGATGTGTAGATACATGAATGATAGAGAGGGGCCAGACGGTCTCAGGGAGGGGGAGAAGGGAGGAGAGAGGGGAGGGAAAGGAAAGTGGAGAAAAATGCTGGCATCATGGCAATGGATAGAAAAAGGGTATCTCCAGGGGAGGGTTGCCATTATAAGAGGTAGTATTACAGTGCCGCAAATGGGTATCTCCAATGGAGAGCAAAAGGGAGTAGACCGAGGCAAACAAAGAAAGAGGTGGAGACGCGGAGTCGTAGGAGGAGGAGGAGGAGGAGGGAAAAGAGTGAAGAATGGAAGGAGAAGGTCAAAAAATTGAAAACAATGCTTAACACAGCGGTTGGAGAGGATGAAGACATACCTTCAAGAAGATTTGCGATCGGAAGAGCCAGTGCGACAGTGACACAGCGTGGAATAATCGCCCGTGTCAGCGACGGATTCAGCGCAAGCAACCGGCCCACCAAAGCCGTCGAATAAAGCGAGAACAGAGCACCACTGATAACCGCCGTAAAGATCTCTGCAGCATGGTGTTTGATGAGCTTTCGTTTCCGAACACCCACAGAAGCAAAAAAGAACATGCCACCAGTGCCACCACCCACCCTTTGGAAAGTCAGATGTCAGATGTCAGATGTCAGATGTCAGACCCGTCTGTTCCACTCACATCTTTGCATTCCATCTGCAGACCCTAAACCCTAAGCCGTAGACCCTCAACCTCACACCCTAAACCCTAAATCCTAAACCCCAAGTAAACAAGTTGGCTGAGCTTAGAGCTGCTACTCACAGAGCTGCTTCAAAATTTGTCACTACATGACTGACCCCTATCGCATTTTTCATGACCAGATTCTGAACCCTAAACCCCAACCCCTACCCTTGACTGGACGGCTGCCGACCCGCCGACCGGTCGGCTGGTCGGCACCTAATAACCCCACGAGCACCTCCATACCCACCCCAAATACATCCATACCCCCCCGAAACACCCACAAACCGCCCCCCAACACCCTCATACCCCCCCCCAATACCCCCTATACCATTCCTATACCCCCCTATACCGCCCTATATCCCCTTATACACCCCTATCGCATTTTTCATGACCAGATTCTGAACCCTAAACCCCGACCCCTAAAGGGCCTAAACCAGTGTTGCACACCCCGACCGGCAGCGACCCTTGACTGGTCGGCTGCCGACCCGCCGACCGGTCGGCTGGTCGGCACCTAATAACCCCACGAACACCTCCATACCCACCCCAAACACCCCCATACCCACCCGAAACACCCACAAACCGCCCCCCAACACCCTCATTCCCCCCCCCAATACCCCCTATACCACCCCTATACCCCCCTATATCCCCCTATATACCCCTATATACGAGACCGCCTATCCCCCCCGCCCCAAAAGTTTCTCAGCGGATTTGGGCTGTACTCAGCAAGCACAGTACAGCTTCCAACTCAGATCTGAAAAAAAATTAGTGGATGGTTGTTTTCTGACTGGTCGGCAGACCGTCGACTGGTCGGCCCTACTGGTCGGCTGGAATACGGTCGGCGGTCGGGGTCGGCGGTCGGCAGGGATGCAACCATGGCCTAAACCCTAAAGGGCCTAAACCCTGAACCCAACACCCTAAACTCTAAACCCTGAGTAAACAAGGAGCCTGAGCTTATAGCTGCAACTCCAAACCCATAACCCTAACCCCCAAAACCTTAAACCTTAAACTCCAAACTCTAAGTAACCAAGGGGGGACTAAGTCTATAGCTACCGTCTTCCCCTGAACACAACGCACCCTCATTGTGCATGTATACGAGCCATCTTTCCAGTCCGATGCATTCATAATGAGGGTGCGTTGTGTTCGGGGGAAGATGGTAGTAAGCCTATAGCTAGTGATCACCGAGCTGATTCAGAATACGTCAATACATGACCGTTTACAATGCATGTATAGACAAGACGGTAGTAAGCCTATAGCTAGCGATCACCGAGCTGATTCAGAATACGTCAATACATGACCGTTTACAATGCATGTATAGACTATAAACCTTAAACCCTAAACCCTAAACCTTAAACCCTATCCCCGAACCCTAAACCGTGAGTAAAGGAGGAGGCTGAGCTTATAGCTGCAACTCCAGCGTCTATACCGAATAGCAGAAACCCATCTCCTTTGCAAGCTTCATCTTTAAGTCAGAGCAGAGTGGCAGCATCCCATGTCCAGTCCTCCCAGCTGCATTTTGGTATACTCTTCCCCCAAATAGAACGCATGGTCACTATAGCTGTATTTGACACAACATGCAGTCCAGATACAGCGATAATGACTGTGCATTCTATTCGGGGGAAGACAGTAGAGCTTCTGAGTCCTATAACTGTTTTTCCTAAAGGGGAGTTAAATTTAATTAATACGAATTACGCATTACTAATTAGTAGTTAGGCACCAGAACCCTGCACCCAGCCGCCATGAGGGTGAATGGTATACGCAGGCAATTGTTCATAAACAGGTCACAAATTCAAATCCTGATGGAATCAAACGAGATGCAATACATTTAGGGGCTGCCACCCCTTCTAAGAAAAGAGATCCTTTAGAGTCTAGGAACCCTGCCTCATCGTAATGAGCCAAACCCCTTCCCCCCCCCCCCCCAAATCTATGATCATAGCGGTGTAGACCCCGGGGCTTTGCTAAAGGGCCCTGGACCCGGTCAGATAGCCCCCCGCCCAGAAGGCGGTGAATACTGGTAGTCACCCACCCACCCAGCATACCATCTGCTAGGCCACTCTCTTCTTCCCTCTCTCTCTCTCTCTCTCTCTCTCTCTCTCTCTCTCTCTCTCTCTCTCTCTCTCTCTCTCTCT